AGGAGAAGGGCACGGGCGCGCAGCGGACATCTGGAGCCTGGGCTGTGTTGTAATAGAGATGGTCACTGGTAAGGTAAGGATATTTCACATACTGAATGAAAGGAAACTGCATGAAAGGAAACTGCTCATAGCAGTTGCTCTGAAGGTTCTTGGTCCCCTCATAGCAATTTATCACAAAGCCCATGAGCACTGGGGTCTTTTTTAAATTCCTGAATTCCAGAAATATTGCTCTAGCAATAGGTCTGGCTAACAAATTACTCACTAAAGCTTGCACTTAGCAGTTTTGTTATCTGTTGCAGAGGCCTTGGCATGAATACGAGCACAACTTCCAGATCATGTATAGAGTGGGGATGGGTCATAAACCTCCTATTCCTGACAAGGTGAGCCCAGAAGGGAAAGACTTCCTTTGCCACTGCCTGGAAAGTGACCCAAAGATGAGGTGGACAGCTAGCCAGCTCCTCGACCATCCTTTTGTCAAGGTTTGTCTCATGGCTTTGGCTGCAAAGACTGTAGATGTGAATCAGACAAGGCTGTTTGTTAGTTGGGCTTGTTATTTACACGTATGCCACGGGGCTTTGTATCCTGGTGGTAGGCTGATACTAAGTTGATGCTATCCAGAAGGCAAGGTTTGGCAACTTGTGAGAGGCATATATGATGTTGCTAGCAAGCATTTGACTAAGAAGCTGATGTGTACCATACAATAAGTTTTCACTGCTATTTCAAGATGCTTTTTTCTTTTATATTAGAGGAACTTGTCAAACTTTAGAGTAGGCTCAGTGGTAGTAATTGGATCTGAAGGGCTGTGCACCTACAATTTTAGTGAGTATGTATGCACAGACTTCAGTAATGTAGAGAGAAGGGTTCCCTCCATGAAAAAGGGAACAAGCACATGCTCGAGAATGAAATTTGAATGAAATTTGGTTTCATTATTTGCCTAAGAATATTTTCATCTACAAATTTGGATGTAACTTTTTTTGGAAGAGGTAGAAGCACAGTAGGTTACATGATTCTGTGACATTTTCCAGCATCAAGTTGTTCACTTCAGTATTGTGGTTCAAGTAACAGTGTATTTGGGATCATCACCCCCATCCATCTTATAAATGCAACCCCGGCCAAATTCTATCTATCACATAGGCAGAATGCTGCCTTATATGCCTAAGAATTGCAGGGTGACAGCGGAAATATCAGTATTCATTTAAAAACAGTTATAACGTATTAACATTATAACAAGGGAGAAGAAAGAAGAAAACTTCAGTGATGTTTGTTAACCTTCTGTTCAAGGAAGGTGCTGAAGAAATTGATCTATTGCCTTTGACTGCAGCAAGACGATGGCAATTGGACTCACTGTCTTTTGTCCCCTTCCCAGGTTTGCACAGATGAAGAATGAAGTTACTCAGTCTCTGGCCTTTTTTATTCTAGCAAAGTATCTTTTAATCACTACTGTATGTAATATTTACATAAAGACTGTGCTGAGAAACAGTATAAAAGTTAAACTTACGAAGACTGCACAAGTGACAAGCGTCATTTTTTTTCTGCTGCTCCTGTATGTTTTACTTGGCACATGTTGCTCATGTGACAGTGTCCGCAAGTTGAAAGAAGCTGCATGTTACAGTGAAAGTGCCATTACTACTGTATATGGACCATACCTTTTTTTGTTCTTTCTCCTGTTTCTCATTTGATTGAGAACTGTAATGTTAATATGTAGTATTTTTGAACTCTCTAGGTTCAAAAAAAATGCTGTAGTGTTATCGGGCGTTATGGACCTTGTTTTTTAATCTGTTGAGTGCACTGACTGTGAACTTTTACTGTTTTTTTGTTTATTTGTTTTTTGGCGAGCTTCAGATTTGTTATGCACAAGGCTGATTAATGAAATTTTAAAAAGGTTTTTTTTTTTTTTTCTCAATAAATGGTTTATTTTAGGAGTTGTTTGTAAGGCTTTTTTTTTTTTCTCCTGAAAATGAATGTGTAACTGTATGGGATATGGGGTCCTGTCACATTTTAAACTACTTTTTTTCACCTCTGTCTTTTGTTTAAGGGTAAGCAATCTAGAATGAAGCTTCTTTTGTACTGCAGTTGTGAATATTTTGTCAGGTTCAGCAAGATGATGTGTAAGAAAAGTCTACACTGCACAGGCACTAACAGAATTCAGGTTCTCTTCCCCACCCCACCTTGAGGAAATAAGGTCATGTGCAATTCCTTATCCTGCTTATTCTATAAGGGATAGCATTAAGGTCTGAAATAACTTTCTTCCTAGACTAGATTACTACAACCAGGAATGGTTGAGAACAGAATCAGTGAAGCCTATTCTTGTGTTCTGCTGGGCGCAAAAAACCCCACAAACTTACTTACTTGTTTATAAACTTTTATAAAACCACTGTCTGATCCTGAACTTTGATTGTTCAATGATGTCGTTTCATCCTCTTAAAAATGGGAGAGAGGGTAGAAGTGGGAAGGAGACAGTTATAAGAAAGTCTGCAGTGTTTGATCTGTTTAGGTATATTCATTTTGTTTGTCTCTCCTTACTATAAACAGGTAATAACTTTTTATAAGCATTAGGAGTGCAAGTTTATATATTCCTATTACCATCATTTCAGACCTTAACATTGATTGATAACTTATAAAGCAGAAAACTTACTTTTAATATTTGGCTTTATTCTAAAGTTTTGTCTCCTTTTAATCCACAAATCTTTCTTTAGTTTGTTACTGCTAAGGGGTAGCTTTTGGCAGCTTAGTAGCACTCGAGAAGGTATCATGAAATCTGGCATTTAAATCTAGAAATGGACAAGCCTCACTGTGCAGTTCATTAACTTCATGCGTCTGGGCTTTCAAAAATATTATGCTGACTTTAAAAAAAGAAATCCCCTCTGTTCCCTACTTTCAGTAACGATGGGAGGGTTTGTCACCCTAAGCAACCCTCTACTCAAAGTGCCTGAGGTAAAAGGCTCTGTGGCCTGTTCTAGTCTTCACTTCTTGGTGCATCAGGAATATCTGAGCTTTTTGTCTCCTCGTTATCTTTAGGTTTCCCTGTCTAAAATGGATTGTGTCCATATAGGCAAAAAGGAACTGAATACAGCTTTTAGGAGTTATCAGAAGAAAGGTAAGGATTGAAATGTTACTAGTTCATTGCTGCTGACCAAAAGAAAACTTGCTCACTGCACTTCAACTTCTTATATTTTTATTTTCTTATAAACCAACATAAGACTACTTTTGTTAAGGCAGTTGTAGAACATACAGTTGCTTGTGGTGGTGGAAAGGGGCAAACACTGATGCCTAATGATGTAGTTGTCATTCTTTTAATACAGTGAACTGGACTAGTTTAACTTTGGCAAGTACCGTTAAGCTGCTTTTTCCCAGTGATTGCTGGAAGGGCCCAGTGGTACAGTCCTTGTGCACTGGGCCTTCTAGAAGTGTCTAAGAGGAAGGATCCAGGCCTGGCATGTCTAGCCTTAGGCCTGTTCTAAGGGTTGGTCCCAGGGAAACAAATACAAAATATTCTATACGCTCATTCAAAAAGTATTTACATGTTTGGTACTTTTGTCTTGGAGAGGTGGTACTGCACGCAGCTAGAGCGGAAATGACCAAGATGATTCACAAAGAATGTTCAACGTCTTCCTAGCAGCATGTTAAATCGGTGGTTCTTTAGAAAGGCAATAAGCTGAACTCTGTCACGACAAGAGTATGTATTTGCTGTTCAGAACTACTCTCGCCTGCACGCAGAGTTCATTCCATCACCATGACAAAAGCTGCTGAGTAAAATGCTAGCTTGAAGAGATCTTTCCCCTGCTGCAACCCTTTTCACTGTCGTCATATCTGGCTCATTAGCATACTTACTGTATTACCTAGCCCTTCAGATGCTACTACATGTTTGTATACTCTGTTTTCTGTTAGATTGTTTTAGCCTATAGAGGTGCATGGTTGCCCTTCAGCACAGAAGGGTGTGCACTTTATTAACAGCATAGCTTAATAAGCATGACAGTATCCTTCAGTCTCAATTTTCCAACATATGAAATGTAGACTGAAGCCTGTCTTTATGTTCGTGACATTGTATAACCTGTTCCAGAAAGTTTCACATCATAGGGAATGCATGTGTACACAAAAACAAAACAAAAAACTAGTCCCTTGAAATCCCTAAGGCCTAGTTCCTTCCTTCATACTGTACATTTTACCAACTGCTTCCACTGTCAAAAAGCTTTACCGCCTGCCCCATGCTGAAAGCATTACTTTACCTGCTTTTTAGGTGCTATGTATTAAAATGATCTGATATACTGAACAGCAAATGCATATTTCATGTTATGATTTATTTTGTTGTATGAGCCTTCTTTCTTCTTGCTTCAGTTTTACTAGAGCAAAAGAGAAATGGTCTTTACCCTAGCTGCTAAAATTCAGACTGCTTGCTTTCTTTTCTAAAGCAACATAAGCTGTGCATCCCTAGGCTATCATGGTGCAATGAAAATGTAACATCAGTGGAAGCGTTAAGAAAAATGCCCCACTCACTGCTCAGTATCACTATCTTTAGATAAAAAAAAGTTTAGATTTCCATTACTGTTCATAGTTGGAGTCTCCCCCTCACCCACCTTTATCCATTTTTTTTTTTAAAAAAAAAAACAAGCTCTTTGCACTAACTTTCTTACATATCCTTGACATTAGAAGCTTATCAACAGAGGAGAATGCCCAGGAATCAATACTAGGAATGCGACATCAACAAAGTAAAGTTTTTCCAAGGGACCTGATAACTATTTTTACTTACTACAGAAGGGTGTCAAATGCAGAGAATCGTTAAGAAAAAAAAAAAAAACCAAGTGATACCACACTGCCCTAGGTTTCTCTCCCAATTCCCCTCTTTTCTCCAAAATAAAAACAAGAAATTAGTTAAGTATTACCTCAAATCAAATGTTATGAGGCTCCATGTAAAACCAATTTATCAGAAAAGAGAGGAAAGCAGATTAATTGGGATTACAACAGTGTAAAGTGGAGGGAAATAACTTTTAATGCAGACTTTGCATTTACTTTGTTACAGCATACCCACTTGTTTTTTGTTTCCACCGTTGTTAGAAAGGCCTAGTGTTTGAAGTTGAAAGTGGTTATTACCTCAGTTTTTCCAAACTCTAAACAGTTTATTCTTAGAAGAATTACAGGTTTCAGGTATCCCACTGGTGTATCGCCTGGGGAAAGATGTGGCAGTGGCTAACTTGAGCTCTGTTCGGGCCTCAAAGCCAAATTACACTCCAGGTTTTGCTACTGCAAGGTTCTGATCTAACACAACAAGGCCCTTATCCAGAGTCTAACTGAAGTTTTAAAAAGGGCCACTGTGGTGCATACTGTGGGAATAAATTCTGTGTGCAGAAAAACTCTACTGTAATCCTGCTACTTCAGTAGAGTTGCTTCAGTCCAACACTGGTATAATGAAGCAGAGCATTTTACTGTATTTAAACATTGACAGATTATGGTGGTTAAACTGTTAATGCATGATCTAGACAAATATCAATTTTAGTCTTCTTGTAACATTCTTCTGACATTTATCCTTTCCTTAGAGCACATTAAGATAAAGCCTGCACCTCAGCAACCACTGGTTAGTTTCCAGGTGGGGGTCTCTCATCATATAAGTGCACTGGATTTTTCTTCTTCTTCAAAACATAAGATACTTTATACGAAAACAAACCAACCAAACAAATGCAAACCTGTTGTGAAGAGTATACGAAGGAGTGTGCCTCTTTCAAGTGTGGAATCCAGCCCAACCCCAAGAGAAAAATAACAGGAGCACAAATTCAGATATGCCTGGCAGTTGCTCATCCTACCCTTCCTCTGATCTCACTTGAAGGACCGTGATATGCACTTAAGAGTTTTCAGAAGTTGCATTTCTTCCCTTTGGGTTGAAGCAGTCTCTGAAGATACTACTTTTGTTTCTGTTTGTTGTCACTGTTGCCATAGGTGGAGCCCTTGTTAATTTCTGTAACGCCTATCATCCATCTGACGCCAACAGAAGCTGCAAAATAATTTAAAAAGTAAAGTTGAAAGCCTGCTTGCAGCTAGAGAGATTGAAGGTCCGCACAAATACAGCATTTTTGAAAGAGACACTGACAGCATTCCTTACCTTATAATAGTATAGCATTGTACTTTCCCTTTGGTAAAAGGTACCCTCCTCAACTATCAAATAAATTACCCACAGTATTTCATGAAGGAAGAACCTGTCTATGTGGCCTCAAGTCTAGATACACCCTCTCCCGTCTAGATACACCCTCTCCCATCAGCAGGGTGCAGGGTTGCACGGAGAGGCCCTGTTGAATCTTAGGCAAAGGTGGCTTTGAAACGTGGATGCTTTCACTGGCTGGTTTTTCTGGCCTCTGAGGAGCTAAAGTGACAAAATGTACTAATACCTTCACTTGCAGTGTGTGACAGGTGAATGAAATTCTGCCTAATTTCAGCAACTGAAGTGCCTGGAAGAGTACCAGCAAGTGCAAGGGCAACTTCATATCTTGATCAACAAAAATGTAAGTTGTAGCATTTCTTAACTATAGCTCACACAAGCAAAGGGCCAAATTAATTTAAAAGATTTTTATAGCTGATTTAACACGAGTAATGGTTCACTATGCAAGAGGATTATTTTGTTATTTATTTCCAGTGCCTGGAGTGACTGACTGAGGAGCACAGGTTTAAGTTAAATGCAACTTAACCTAAGCCCCTCCTTTTCTTTAAAGGGGCTCAGCTGCCCAAAGACTATCATTCCCCAAACCTCTCCTCAGCTACTGTACATGTCCAGAACTGCTACCCTTCTTTCAGGCCTACACCCACATGGGATTCACAAACACCTCCCTATGGTCAGAATTCTCCTTAAAAAAAAAACAAAACAAAAACAAAAACACCCCCAAAAAACAAAAAACCCACCACCCACCCCCACACCCTGCACCAACAAAAAAACCCTCCCAAAATTCTGGTTATTTGCTGGCTGAAGGTGAAAACAATTAGCATGCGGTAACCTGCACATTAGATTATCGTGTTCCATTTTCACAAAATCAGGGTGCTGCGAGGTGCTCTCAACCTTGCATTCCCATCAGTATTTACTGCCACAAGCCAGCCCTGAACACCCCCCTCACCAGCCAAAGGCCCCGCTATTTATGGCAGGCGTCCAAGCCTCAGATCAACAATAAAATCTCAAGGCTGCTCTCCCCTATCGGACATCATCTGCAAACAGCAGGGCTGACAGGAGCAAATATCAGGACTAGCTAGCAGAGGAAAGAGAAGAGGGCTGTCAGCTGGCAACCAGCACTTCCCTGGGCTCTTACCACGTGCTTACTTGTGATAATGCAAGTCAGGTTACAGCTGGACATCAGCCATGCAAAAACACCGCTTTTTAAAAAAGCTACTCCTCTCTTGTGCCTCAAGCAGCCTGTTCTGAAGTGGAGCAGAGACTATGGAGTAAGTTGTACAACTGCAAGTGACAAAATGTGAAAGAGCTAAATATATTATTTCAATACCAAGACAGGCTTCGGAGAAAAGCCAGACGAAGTTATTTTGGCCAAATCCTAAATATTTAAAACAAAAGGATGGAGAAAATGTTGGGAAACCACTTGTGAGCCACTGTTAGATAAGCACTCACGGAATAAATGGGAAAAACAAGCTATAGGCTTTTATAACTAACCTTATTAACAAGAAAAAGAAGTGTTGCATATTAAAAAAAAAAATTCCATATGCCACAGATACATCAAATAGGGATGAGGACAGAAAGTCAAAGTTACCTACTTTGGTTAATTACATTGTAAAATTTACCTGATTTGTTTAAAGGTAAAGCAAGAGGATGCTGTGACACGAGCAGGAACAGCAGTTGCAATTCCCAAGTTGTATCCCACGATGGTGTCCAACTCAGCTGCTAACCAAGTTCCCCTTGCCAAAAGGTGAGGAATGAGCTCAGCATTTGCCTATTACTCCTCCCACTGCAAGCCTGTGAACAGTTAACATTTACCTGGCTGATGCCTAGCAGGTTCAAAACATCGGTATGGAAAATGTTCTGCTTTCCTTGGATGAAAGGCACCAAGCACTTTATTCTTTCAAAATATCATCACTTGAAAACAAACCAATCAACTAGACTTGTGTTTTCTAGTATGACACTGAACTAGGTGAACTAGGTGACTTTTTAGAAGTACGAGTGGTAATTGGGTATCAGAGACAGGTTGCACAAATGGCACACAACGATGACTGAACAGACAGCGGTGTGATGGTGGACTGGGGCTGCCCATGGGCTTCCTGGCTGCTCACACGCTAGGAAAACACGGCCCTCTCGCTGCCAAATATCTGTACAGCACATACAGCACAGAAACAGAGATGCCTCCCGGAACGTTCATCGTAGCTTACAAACCACAGCTAGTCCCCCGAACGGAAACGCGCACAAAACCGGGACAAGGGAAGGATTTTCACTCAGGCGAACGAAAAACAGAAAACATCTCTAGCATTTAAATGGCCATGAGCTAGGGAAGACAAGGGGAGAATCCAACATGTAGCTTGCAGTCTGGGATCATGACACTAATAGCAAGCATGAAATCATTAAGTCTTTAACCAAAGGGATAGAAATAGCATCTGGAGATGGACACAGGGCATAAATCAGAGCAACTGTTACAGCCACCACACAGCACATTAGGGCCTTCGTGCAGTGCCAGGAATGCAGCTGCCTGGACACCAAAAAATACCTAGTTCAACAGTTCAGCTTTTTTCCTTCTTTTCCTCCTCCACTCTCTGCCAGAACCGCCCACTCTCCTCCTCCCTCATTTTGCCCCGCAGTCCTCCGTACCCTGGGGGAAGGCAGGATGTGAGGAGAAGGGACCCTGCATTTTTGCAGAGCTCGTGAAAGCAGAGCAGGGATAAGTGCTGGGCTGCCTCAGCAGCTTCCCCCTGCACTGTCTGCCTTCTCTTCTCTGTGTCCTCTCAACATCTCCCCTGGAGCTGAACTCCCTCCCAACTCTCTCCTTAATTCTCAGCAGCTTCCTGGGAACATTTCAGTGCCCTCCCCCATGAATACATCCCCAGTCTAACTTGAGAGCTGCTTACCTAATTATGGAGAAACTCAGAGTGATGGGCCCAAAGCTGGGGGAAAGGATCACACTTCAGGAAGAGACTAAAAGCACAGCTGTGGCTCAGGAATACCCAATTCCAAGCACCAGGTTATAGAGATGAGCACCACTGAGCTACCTGAGATACAAGAAAGAGCAGGCAAGGAACTGCTCTTCATACACAGGCTGGTTGCATGCTAGGACTTCCCCTTCAATCTCAAAAGGGCCTGATTTCCATACCCTGTTTAGCCCCACCTCCCTGACTAAAGGGATAGGAGACCAGAGCTCCTGCCAATTTTATCTAAAATGGCCACCTCTTTGCTCCCTCTGCAACTTCTATATTTTTCACCCCAAAAATGTGAAGATAACATTCTCAAAGGGCTCTGAGTACACAAAGCCTGGCCATTCCACACGATGAATGTTGTTGTGCAAGTCCAAGTTTGGAAACAAAGGCTTTTCTGCAATTTTTTTTTTTTTAATATCCTTTCCAACATTGCAGGATGATCTCACATTTGTGTTAAATTACTCCTTGCAGAGGGAATGCTGTAGACAACATATGCCAAACCAAGCAGCTAAAATAGCTCCAAAATGGTTTTGGAACTAGAAAGAGCACCAGAGATTGAGAACAGAAAAATCCCAGAACAATTAGGGAAAAACCTCTTCTGTAGCATGGCAACTATCAGTGCTACACTCCCCATACAAGAGTTTGTTGTTACAGCATGCACGGAGACACGCCAAAAAGGCTCTTCAGCCAAATCAAAATCGCAACCAAAGGGAAAGACTCTTCAGCCAAATCAAAATCGCAAGCAAAGGGAAAGACTGAAAGGGAGTCAGTTTCTGTTTGGTTCTCTTTGAACAGGCAACGCTGAAGATTGCTTTCTTACTGTTGTGCTACATTCGGAGGGAGGAGGAGGGGGTAAAAATGGCATGTCATTACAGTGCCACACGCCTGCAAACAGTTCATTCCCTGGTGCATTCCCCACTGATGCAGTCCTGCTTAAGGGTTTGTTTAAAATACAACTGCAGTAGTAAGAACTCATTGTGTCACTACAAGGATGGGGAGAAAGAGAAATCGGGAAGGAATTGTAGCTTTCTAACTGGATGGGCTGGGGGAATTTAGGCCCCCCTCAGAACAGTGGAAGAGAGCAGCTGTCAACTGAGGGGTCCCCACACTGCTCCATGCCCAATGACAGAAGGTAACTGAGCTCCGCCAGCCCTCTGTCCCTCATTACCAACAGCCAGCAAACATATGAGATTGCTAAGGACTGCTCTGCCCGCCGGACTGCTGGGGGTTGAAGGAAGGTTGTTATTCTTAACAATTTGAAAGCTAACACAAATTGACAGAGCCAATAATGGACTCTGTTTCTTTAACCTTTTTAGCTCCAAGACGACCACCACACACACATCCCTCGGTATAAACCTTAGTTCAGAGCAGAAGATTTCAATCTCTTCTCTCACATCTCAGGATTTGCTCTCATCCATTTCCTGGGGTTTGTACCACACAGCAATTGCTACAAGCAGCACAGAAGTCAGAGGTATTGAAATTTCCCATATATAGTCTGCAGTACACCTAAGTTTTATAGGTTATACATGGAAAGGAAACATTTGTACAACTATGGCTTATACTAATAGCATGGATTTCCATTTAGCTCTTATCTTAACTACTATATAGGAGAAGAAGCAAGCAACAATAACAAAAACAACAACAAGAAAAAAAAAAAAGCACAGATTGTCTGGCAGCTCCACCACTATCAATGCAGGCAGAAATCTGCACGATTTATGTCCTCTTGCTGTCGTAAACTTACGGCAACACTGCTAGCTCATGCTCTCCTCACCTTCCCCTCATCTCATCCTACACGCACCAACAGCCTCACTGCCCAGAGCACATCACGCTCTAACCCTTTGGTCCACATTCTGCACTTGGATATTGTCAAGTCACCAAAAACTCAGCCCTGTTCGTAACTGATGAGGAGAAAACGGGTTTCCTAAGGGCACTGTCCGCATACTGTATAGCGGACATACAACAACAGCTCCTGCAGATTCAAAGCTAGTTCATTATTACTCATGCTTGTTTCAAATGTCATTTGCAGGCAAGAGAGGTATTTCACCTACTATGCTGGACCCATGCCATAAGACCCCAGTGCATTATGCTTTTAGCATTAGACATGTAAGAGCTATTTCCCCATTTGAAAGCAAAGAGAAACCCTTTAATCTTTTGCGTATGGAGCCAAAGTTCCCCTTTAAATTGCTGTTGACAGCTCTGTAATAAAGTACTTCAAGTGCATGAAGGTTGCCCTCTTCAACACAAGTTACCAAAACATGAAAGGCAACCTAACGCTGGATTCTTTGGAGCCAAACCAGATTAGCGAAGTAGGAGTGGAAGGAAAAAAAGCTGCTGTCAAATACAACTACTGACATTTGACAGACTCACTCAGGGCTTTAACACAGAAATATCAGCTCCAACTTCTAAAGAGCAATTGTGAGTGAAGCACACAAATTTCTTGCCATTTGTCCTATGAAACTAAAGCCAATTTTCAAAAGGGGCTTTTGTCCCCCAATTCCTTGAGTATTTATCCTCTGGAGCAGGGACTGCCTTGCGGTTCAAACACTATCACAAAGGGCTCCTGGTCCCAGACCAGGAGTCAGATATTAGGACAATGCAATGATTATTATGAGTACAAATAGCCAAACTGCTGCACAACAAAGCAAGAGGGGATGGCTCAGCATTCTCAGTATAAAGAGGAGACATCCTCCTTTATTTAGATCTGAAAGTGTTTGAGCTGAACCAGCAGAGCTAAATATATGCCACTTATTCATTCCTTGGATCTGAAAAGTTGGGTTCTGAGGTACTACAGCACTTTCGCTCCATTTTGACTACGATGGGGCCTTTCTCGTACGGTTCTTTCCATCTGAGCCAGTTAGTCAGATACCAGTAATGGCCTTACTAGAGAGCACAATTAGCAGAGACTGTCCAGAAGAGAAACTACATTCTGAAGACAAACCAGGGTATCGGGTGAACGGACTTCTCGGGCCCATCACTCTTTCCTATCACAGAATGCTTATGCTCATCTTGTGCTCTCTCTGCACCTACACTAACGCAGCACCAGGCACTGAAGTCTGCCCTTCGAACAATGAAGTCAACCTAAAATGGGCTGTTATGGAAAGCAGTAAGCTTCCCAGTTTTGGGGTATCAAGTGAGCAGTCCAACCGCGATATATAAAAAAAAGTGTCCCAAAGGCTACCTCTGCTTCTTCAGTTAATAAACAGAAGAAAAGTCTCCTAGGACCAATGTGAAAAGATGGTTTCATCTTCAGATCACAATGGTAAATCACTTAGTCTGGCTTATATAAAAAGCTTCCTTTTACATTGTTAACTCAGCCGGTTCCAGATCACAGCTGACACTGGAAAAGATGGCAAATGTAGTCCTGGCTGCTTTGCTACAAACCGGATCAGCCAAGCAGACAGTTCCAGTTGACACCAAGAGTCATGAGTCTCAAAGTACATTTGTGTTCCTCTACTATCACCTCTTAGCCACAGGAAGTCCTTTCTGAGACCATGCCTAAAGCCAGAAATAGAACTGTGCAGTAGTACTGGTTGTTCCTCTGTCAGGAGACAGCTGCATCACATTCAGGACACTTACGACAGCGAGACCCCTCCAGGTAAAGGGCACAGTTTGGGGAGAACTACCCTGCTACAGAAACTGGGCTCTTGGCTACAAAAGTCCACGCGACAGCTTGGGCTGATGTTTCAAGGCTTCCACAGAGCCCGACCAAATATTCCCAACTAGGAACAAAATTACCTTTAAAGGGAAATAGTAAAACAGATAACGACTAGAATGTACTAAGGAAACCATCGCCCTTTCAGCGTGCAATGACACATCCACTTTTAACTGACCAGGATGAACCAGCTCTGCTCTCTCTTTGTTTTTACTGAAGGCTGAATCGCCTTCCGCTCTGATGGATTCTCTACCCTCCACAGCCTCGCAGAGGCTGCTGTCTGATGATAATCAACAACAGCATCTTTCTTTTTTGCCAGGTCATCAGCAAGAGGGGGCCAGCTGAGCCTAATCAGGCGATATCCACTGCTACAGGCAACGCAGTACCTTCTGCCACCCTGCAAATCCCAGCACTTACAAGCACTTTGCGTTCAGTCACGCCTGGTACTCAGAGGAAACACAGAGCTGTTGCCAAGCACGGGGCTTTCAAATCCCTGCAGGGGATTGCATCCTGCAGCATCCCACAAAAGCGGCTGATAGGTACAGGGCAGCAATGTGCCTCACACAGCGGGCTGTTAATCTCCCCATTCCTAATGCACTCCTCAGCTGTGCTCTTGCAGCCTGGGAGCTCATGCGTTCACTCTGGCAGCAGACTGCTGCTGTAGGTTGTTGTTAGCTCCAGCACTACAAATAACCTAAGAAGTTGTCCTTTGGACTATCACTGCTTTCAAAAGAGGACTCGCATCAGTCTGCTTATTAATTTGGCCTTGTGAGTGGAAGCAGAAAAAAATCTAAGCAAGGAATAAGAGAGCAAGAAAGCAAAAGGCTTTTTGCTCTCCATTCTTAGCAGCATCATAATTTTTTTTACTAGTTCTTTCTCTCCCTTCCTATTAGAGAGAAGACATGACAATAGTGGTAAAGGCCTCTTAACAGTAAGATAGTATGGGTCTTGGGGATCACTACACTAAATTAACAAGGGCTAAATCGAGAACCATCACATATGCCACAATGCCAAGCATTAAAACATCTGGCCCTAAGGGTAAAATCCAGAACCCTGAATTATGCAATGAGGGTCCCTGCAGAAGGTACACAGAGCATGAGGCAACTCAGTACGGCATCAAACAACCAGGCCACTGAGTGAGGAAGCTGAAATTAGGAGGGAAATGCTGAAGGATGAAGAATCTCAAGATTTTGCCACAGCTGAGATTCAGTGCCCCATTAGACCCTGGGTCCAGAGACCAGTCCCAAATGTGATTGCTCTCATGTTTCTTCCAAAGGCAGAATAAATACCCTCTCAAGTGTGATAGCCCAGAAGGTAGCATTTACCATGCTTTTATCATACCTCATCCCTTCCACTACTGTATACCACTTTTGGGCTAGAGCACCCTCAGCACAGGACGGGCCCAGCTTGGCCTTTTTCTGCAGCCTAAGAGGATTTGAATCCAAGATCCCCCCATCCTTGAGGATGGCACCCTAACCATGATGCTTACTCTACTCCACGTCCCCCTAGTGTCAGGCCAGAGAAGAGAAGGGACACTTCTCATGACTCCCAGCACCCAGATAGAAAGAGAGGCTTCTAAGCTGTAGTCACTGCTCCAAGAACTTCTTACACATTTTACCTGAAACACTTCCAGGTAAAAAGTATCAGCACTTTTTCCAGGTGGGGACAAGAGTACAGGATCTATCCTTCCTTCTGCTCCCTAGTCTGCTTACGTGAATGCACCAGCTGTGATCTTAAAAAGTTACCCTTGCTTGTACTCTCCTTCTCTGGCCCAAAGCATCGTGAAGCAGATCACTTGCATGAAAAAAAATTCAAACTCTTCTACCTCTTCTGATTATCTTTGTAAGAAGCTTCCCCAGTAGGCTAAACAGAGCTTGATTTGGTGGGTACCTTTTGAAAGAGTATTGTGTGCCTAACCCCTCATCACAGAGGGGCAAACAGTCATTAGTTGATTCATCATGATCAGATTAGGATGGCACCTGATCAAGAGTCAGGCTTTTTGAGAATGCACAGAAGTAAAATGTTAGGAACAATTTCCTAGGCAGAGAATAAAGAAACTCTTAGAGGCAGTTTGGAGGCAAAAATAGCTCAGTGTTTTCCTGACTGCTATTTTGAACATGGGACTTAACCTATCTCAAATATTGCTGCATCTAAATTCCCTCAAAACCAGGATTGTGAAGTTTTGTTTCTTCTTCTTTTCTAAAGGATGTTTGTAATATACTCAGATGTTAAGGTAATGGGGCCATCAACATTTGTGGCAGTGCAGCCATATCAAATACTTATTCTGTTAAGGTATGGTTTATTGCGAAAGGGAACTTACTCTGCAAACAACACTCAATACACCAAAAAGTGTACACATTGTGTACACTAGTGTCTAGTCTGCCAAACTGACCTGGCTCCTCCTTCCACGAAGGAGACTGAATGAGATTTTCCCTCCTTTTTCGTGGCCTGGCTCCTTTTTTTGTTTGTCTTCCTCCTCTTAAATAACATTCTGTTTTAACCACACACCACGACAGTTCAGAACTACCACAGGAACTGCAGAAACCACCAGTGGCAGTCTTTGTCCTACGCTACATAGAGAGTCAGCCTACATGGCCACAACAGGCTGTCCTGGCCTTAAATCCTAAGTTTATGGATTTCCAATGGGTGACACGCCAGACTACGGTTAGATGAAAGAATTCTCAACAGAATAAATTAGCCGCGAGCATCTCTTCTAGGCATTCAGAGCGCAACACAGCACAAGGTTGTGCCCTACACAAGAACAGAAAGCTTCTTAGTAGGCCTCTAAATCAGGTCTGACAGTAACCCCTGCAAGTAATCTTTCCATCTGAGAACAACTTACCCATTACGATGACAAATACAAAACTAGCCAGTGTTAGTGATGACCCACTGTTGACCATGTTGATGAGCAGCTTGAATAAAGGGTATAGCAGCAATAAGGCCCAGAAAAGCCAGTTCAAAAGCGTCCATGGTCGTCGGGGAGGAACTATAGGGACTGCAGGGTAGGTTCCTGTTCTGTAGTACTCTTCCTGGAACGCATCCTGGTAGGACAAAGGAGAGCAACAATTAAATCTCCATCTGCCAATACAGCTAGTCATTCCTGAGTTTGATGTCTCTCTGGCCACACACTTATAACCCTGGGGGAAGATCAAAGACCAAGTCATGGCTGAAAATCTTGTACTTTTAAGTTAACGAGCCCGTACTCAGGAAAGAACTTACACGGATGCGCCCATCCTGTCTTTCTCCTACATACAGGAGCCTGAAAATGGCAGGCCTAGAAAGCGTAACTAGCTCACTAAAACAAAAAGAATGGGGAAGAGAACATCTCCTGCACCTCCTGCAAGAGCCACAACTGCTGAACAAATAGTGCTGGTAGGCCAGAAAAGTGTTGGGGCTACATCTTCAGCACTAAATCCTCTCCTCCCTAATATTTTCTCCAATGGTTATTGCTCTAAACATCCGCAGTCGGGACAGAAAAGGGAAGCAGACACTATCATGCCCCATACTCAAAAGAACACTGTTCCCTCCTCTTCCTTTTCTTTGTCCCATAGATGTAGTTTTGTTCATCTTGCTCCTATGTACCCTTTGAAAGAAAGTTTTGGGTGTTTAACCTCTCCACAGACAGCTGAGCATGCAAACAGTTTAAAGAGTGTCTCAGTGCTTTTGACTAAAGAATTCTCTGTTTTAATACAAGAGGAGAGTAGTGGGATGAGATTGTGGGGTTTTTTTTTGTTTTTTGTTTTTTTTAAGGCTTAGAAGGCTTAGCATTTAGTACCTTCCTCTAAAGCCTATATGGGTGAATGGCATGGCCTTTACCAATGTGATCAGCTCACGATAAAGTTGGTGGAAAAAACAACTATTCCTTATGGTTCAAAAAACTAAAGATTTGTATTAATCACATAAATAAAACTGGTTAATTAATGAAGTCAGAATTAGCCTGGCATGAAAAGAAACCTCAGTTTAGTCAGAATGAAGTGCTAAATTTCTCTCTTGAAGAGGATGCTTCATGAGAGTCTCCAAAATCTGCCAAAGCCAGGGTTGTCCTAAGCAACCACAAGATTATTTTTACTATGCTAGGATTTGATATTTACTTACACTCCAGCTGACACAGACAATTCTTTAATTATTTAATGGCAATTTGAGCAATTACAGCCTGCTACCATTTTATCTAATTCAAAGGGAACATTTAGCTTTTAAGAGATTACACGGTAATTAGAGTGTTCCACTCTTTATTGAGATTAGAAAAATTATGACTGTCTTGCGCTCGTGGACTAGACTGTACTGGGATCATTAGGGCCAATTAATTAGCTGTCTTTGACAAATTACACAGCGCATGTATTTTTCTTTACAGTGCCTGGAAGAGTCTGGTTTAGGACTGGGTCTAACATAGAGCTACTAGTCATTAGTAAATTGAACTCTACTATACAGGACTAGGTTTATAAATATCAGTAATACTCAGATAAAATTAAGGGTTTCTGACTATTATTGCTATCACCATTACAGGGCCTATCACTACAGGTTAGCAAGACATGCTTAAAGCAAGCACGTATTCCCTTCTGTTGGTTTTCCTCAGCATTAGGGGCAGCAAAACTGTAGGAAAGGTCTCAGCAAGAGGTCTGAGACAGACAAAAGAACTATACAGTGGACAGAAGGATATAGCTGTCTTCACCTCCACCCCAAGTTTTACACCACAGCAGGGAATGGCTCCTCAATTCACTTCAATTCCTTGCCCTTAAAAGTGCTCATATTCCCCACAGAAGAGGTTTATGGGTTGATCTGCCCTCTGTGCTTTTGTGAGGGTGCCTGTGGTACCCAAGAATAGCTCAAGTTAGCATCTGAACCCATGATGCACCTCAATAACTGCCCCCCCATCCCTGTCCCCAAATTCCCTTTCGTTCCTGCTGCACACAGAGCTTCTTTTCAGCTTGCAATAAATCTCACCCACCTAAGTATTATTTTCAGACTTGGGAACATGCTTTCCCCCAGCGCTTCTACTAAATTTGTTTTACTTCAGACAGCGGGGTAGTGAAGAGATGGGGAGAAACCAGGGGATGCTTGTCATCTTGCGAGAGGCTAACTCGATTCTTCATCTTTGCTCCACCAGGGAGGTCTGACTACTGCCCTTTCATGAAGAAGTTCACACAGAAGGAGTATCCAAAAATACCTTCCTTGTTCCCAGACACTAAAGTTCTGTAGACTTTCCCTTTTCAGCTGTGCTTTGCCAATTCCCTAGGGCAATTTGCCATACATTTTCATGCTGTGTTTTCCATGCTTCTCTCGCAAGTGAGAAGAGTTAGAAACTTACTTTTCTTTTTAATGGAAATTAAGATTCTCAAGCAGCACTTCTATTCCAGGAGCTGAGGCTGTAAGGAGGTGAAAAAAAAAAAAAAATCTATGCAAGGGCTGGCAGAGTTGTGACTGTTATGCAATAACCCTTCAGACTGGGCACTAGTGTATTAAAGTCCCTGCTAAGGTCAAGGAGAGTCTTTCAAGAAACGGCAAGAGAAAAAAAAAAAAAGGGCACTCCAGGTTACACCTCTGCCATCATCTGGCCTTAACCAATATAGTACTGGCTATTTGCAGGAAGACAAAATTCACCCCACGTGAGAAAGAAGTGTAAGGACATGATGCTTAATGCGAGCTGGGGTCAAGAAGGAGAAGCGTTTGGTTTCTAAGAGCACAGTGCCATTGCTCCTCTGGAAAGGCCTCGCTCATTATGTTTCTAGCAGTGGGTAAACCAGGAAATGCAGCGGTAAGGAGCAAGAACGTAAACGTGCCAGATTGATTCCCAGAAAGCAGTATCTCATTTTGAGGAATATAACTGAGACCTGGCAATGAGGTAACGAGACAGTAAAAACTTTTCTCAAAGCCTCTGACCTCCTTATTAACAACAGAAAAGGTCACATCCCTTGATGCTTACTAACAACTGATTGCATCAATCATTCAAGTAGCTTTTTGTCCCTGATCACCATGACTGCACAGCACTCCAGCCTGGATCTCTACACCTGTAGCAGGCACCTACTACTAAATTATGCTATTAAAGCATAATTCGGCACTGCCCAGTGGATAAGGGAAGGATGGAGGGGCTTTACTATTAACTTAATATGTTCCACACACTCCCCCACTGAAATGCTAGAAGCAAAACAGAGACTGCCATGCTTTGAGGAGAGCAGGGCCAAAGGATCGTAGCACCCTTACGGACTGAATCTTTCACGTTCAAGCCAGAGCAGTTTGACTGACAGCTTGCAGAATAACGCTGCTTCTTCCTAACTCCTTTTCTACCACAGCCTTGCACTGGGACTTGTGAAAAACAGACAGAGCAGGGATTAGTGATAGCTCTTGGAGCCTCCCAGCTGAGCAGTGCCTCTGAGTGCACCTGCATGCAGAGAGGAGGTTTGTGGGGCCAAGCTCTGCCATGCAACTCTGCAAAGAGCACAGACTTCCTCCACGAAGGCATCCCAGAGCTGGCAGCCAGGGCACAGCAGGGAAAAGCTCAAACCACCCTGAATTAACTAACAGTTGCTGCGTGCTGTAACGCTCAAGAAGATGTTATAAAAACCACTGAGAATAAGCAACAGCACATACAACCATGATGCAGGATACAACAGGGAACCTGCTTTTCAGTAGCCTGCATACCTTCCTTGTCTAATATTAAAGCAGAAAGAGTGCTACAATCAAATTAGGCAAAACCGAGGATGAGTGCATATATTGCAATGAATTACGGCTCTTTGAAAACAGATTTTTTACATTTTATCATATAAATATTTACCAACTCTGAAGACATTAATCTGAAACAGAATTCATTTTTGGAAGCAGCACTCGGGTGGCGGTGCTGCTTGTTATCCCATCTAAAAGCCAAAGACCTTTTTAAAGAAGCATGTCAAAAAGGTGAAAATGAATTGTGTTTTTCTTCTCCTGTGGGCTTTATCTCATAGCTCTTAACAAGTTGTCCCTTGTTCCCCAGTATAAGCAAACAATCTGTATTCTCCTAAACAGTCTGATTTTACAGAGACATGGGCTTGTGTAAATAAGGAATAACTGCAGTGAAATAACAGAGATTCACTGATTTAAAACAGCTGAAGGAAGAGGAACATGCCATATTCAAAAAACAAAACAAAACAAAAAGCTTTTAAAGGAAAGGAAAACTGAACACACATTCCTTTCTGCTATATTTAAAAGGGAAGCTACAGACTTAACCAACCAGCAAACTAAGTTGTTATGAAGAGGAAAGTAGGATGGATGTACACACTGCTTGTACTGGAAATAACTGAGCGATTGCCAAATAAAAAACAGAAAACTTGAAGTGAAATAATGCAAAGGATGCAATGGGAGATTCAGGAAAACCATCATCACACTCATTCAGTTTATGTTCTTGTCTTGCAAACGTCTAAATGTTATCTTAGGAACACGAAACAGGGTTGGAAACAAAGTCATAGTAGTAGGAAGTGGACTGTTGTAGTGTTCAACTAAAGGACCATTTGCATTTATATTCCTGAAGAGAAAGCAAAGGCCAGTACGTAACATAACGTCTTTCTGCAAAAACGTGCTAGATGTAGCGTCTGAATTAGATGTTAGCGGCACAACTTAGAAAAAAGGGAGACTCGACTGCAAGCCAGTTGATCTGCAACTGAAGTCTCAAAACGTATTTATTTTGCACATTCCTACCCGCAAGCTGCTTACAGAGGCCAGGAATTACACAAAAAAACAGTCATGATCCGAAGCTGAGTAAGAGACTAGAAAACAGTCAATTCAGAAATGTTAACGTGGTGTTCCAGATTGAGTACAACAAATCACAGCAAAATTTCACTGCCATAGCAAGAGGAAAACAGAGCTTAGCTACAGCGTACCATTTTTAAACCATCAGCAGCACCATATTCCAATCCAAATAGATAACTTGGACCAGTTTATCCCAGCAAATCAAGCAGCCCGGCCCTTGTGCCTTGCACACTGTAACTCCCACTGAATGAAATAGGAGTGTTGTGCATATTTAAAGAGCACATCCCCCAGTCACTATCTCCCATGTTCATAAATACAAGAAACTCAGGAAACACATTCTGATAATATGAAGGATGCACATGACATGAGAAAAAGAAGAAAAAACCGAAAAAGCACACAGTCATTATTATTCTGTCCTTATCCTATGCAATTAGGGATCTTAAATGCACACCCTCTGTGCACACAACATGTAAGCAAATTATCAGACTGTCCAGTTAATATTAGTTACTTGCCTTGGTAATAAAAATAAATAAATGAAACTCAACCAGTTAAAATGAGAGACAAATCAGTTCTAATACATTAAGGCTAAATATACCTCATTTAGCCCAAGACTTACTCCTTGATTTAGGATCTACCTTTAAAGGAAAAGAAATCTTTCTACCAATCAGGAGGTAGTTGCATTTTTTATATCACTATGCAACTTTCTAAAAAGGGAAAAACTATTCTCTCACTGAGGCTGAGTTAAGTTCTCTTTCTGTTACTTTGCTTCTAGAGAAACAGAGCACCTATCCTAAGCACATACAAAAGACACCCCCAAAACCTCCAAAGCACCACCACACACGATGCATACTGCTCAGATCCACTACCAGTAGAGATGACAGAACACTGGTGGCTCATCAGTGATTTCTAGACAAAGAAACCAACCTTTTTTTAATATAG